TCCAGTGACATAGCCATTACGCTAACTGCTGGTTCCCGAAAAACCCTATCTTAAGATTAACGGTCCAGGGGCAAGCAGGTGGTGTGGTGGTTAAGGTGCTGGACTTCCACAAGGTGGTTCGAGTCCTGGACCTGGCAGTTTGCTTTCTCACTTTCCCTCTCTCTGGTCAAATTAATAAATAATAATAAATAGAATTAAATAAATAACTCTTTTTTAAAAAAAGATTAAAGGTCTGTATGGTTCTAGTCATCTCACCAGATGTGACCTACCTAGTTAGGCCAACATTTAACACTACAATGATATGTCCAGCAGCTAAAAAGCTTTTATTTATGGGTATGTAATGGTTATGTAGCTGGACTCCCACATAGTTGACTGTAGTTTGAGTCCAGGACCCTGCGGCTTAAAACTCACACTGGGCACATGGTGTGTGCATGCCCAAGATCCCGAGAGGATAATGGAGGAGAAGGGATTGCAGTATGGTCAGTCCCCTGGGGAGTGATTTCTCACTTTCTGTCCCTCTCTTGTCTCTCTGCCATATGCCCTATAGCAAAAAAAACCTCTTAAAAATAATAATAAAAAAACTTTATAGTGTTTATTCAAGACAATAACCTTTGTAACCAGTGATTTTTCTCATTCATTTTTGTATTTCCCACTTAGCTTTGGCCCAGGGCCTTGTATATATAGATATTCAATAAAAGAATAAAGTATCTGTTGGTGATTCATATAGATTTTCTTCCAAGTTGCAAGTTCCCATAAAAATGAAACAAATAAACAACAATATTGTAGAAGGGAACAACATTTCCTTTTAACAAAAAGGCTCTGCAAATCCTCACCTTGATTCTTTTTATGGTCTAGGCACAGATGTCAGCGTCAATTCTCAAGGAATACTAATGGGCTATCCTGTGTATTGAATAACGTAGAAACAGACACCTAGGTCTAGTTTTCTTAATACCTGTGACTACAGTGATTGGTTGGCCAGTTTTGGGAGGCCCCAGATTGAGGCAAGTTGCTTGCATCATGCAGGTTAGGTCAGCACCTCCCAGTGCGATTTGTTTTCATGGATACCCTCTACTCCTTGTCTTTGCTTTTTCTTAACTGCACAGGGAACTTCTCAAGAAACTAGTGTGGAGACAGTGGATGGTCAAAAAGTAAGCAATTTTCTTTTTTAAAAATAATTATTTTACTTTATTGGGACCAGCAGCTGGCATAATGGCTATGTCACTGGACTGCCATGTAGTTGACCGTGGTTTGAATCCCAGACCTGGTGGCTTAAACTCATGCTGGGCACGTATGTGTACGTGCCCAAGATCCTGAGAGGAGAATGGAGGAGAAGGGATTGCAGCATGGCCATCCTCCCTGGGGGGTGATTTCTTGCTTTCTGTCTCTTTGTGTCTGTCTTTCTGGTGAGCGCATGCATCCTATAGCAAAAACCTCTCCCCCCAAAACATTTTTATGTATTTATTCATTCATTTTTTAAAAATTTGACCAGAGTGAGATAGAGAGGAAAAGTGAGAAAGCAAGTCACTAGGACCAGGACTTGAACTGTGGCCAGCCATGTGGGAATGTCCAGCACCTTAACCACTATGCCACCTGCTGGTCCATGGGTAAGAGATTTTCTAATCTGACTTAGTAAGTGCTGAGTCATCTAAGCTGACTTTGTAGGTGCTCAGTTAATGGTGCCAGAATTTTCACAGAAGTATTTGTTACCTCTTACATTGTTTGTATTTTACTCTTTGCCAAATTACTTGTATTGACAGATGATTAAAATTCCTTTGCTTGCAATACTGTTCTTTGGCTTTCTTGTCCAAATTCAAAAAAGTTTTCTTAGACCATTATGAGCTCTTATTAGAAATAAGTTGCTAACTTTCCTTTCCTTCATGTTCTTATGTTTTAGAGTAATTTTAGGCCACTGATATTTCTTTTCACCAACTGTACTATTCTTAGCCTAATAAAATGCACCTTTCTTTCTCTTTTTTAAAGAATTATTTTATTGAGACCAGCAGATGGCGTAATGCTTACATTGCTGGACTGTCATGTAGTTGACTATGGTACAAGTTCTGAACCCAGCAGCTTAAAACCCATGCCGGGCACATGAGTGTGCATGCCCAAAATCCCAAGAGGAGAATGGAAGAGAAGGGACTGTAGCATGACCATCCTCCTAGGGGGTGATTTCTCTCTTTTTGTCTCTGTCTTTCTGATGAGTGCACACACCTGACAGCAAAAGTATTTCTAAAAAAGGAATGATTTATTATTATTATTATCATTAAGAAGCAAGTGACTGGGTCCAGGACTCCAACTGCAGTTGGCTATGTGGGAGTCTAGTGCTTTAACCACCATGCTACCTGCCAGCCCCTAGAATGCTCTTTCTGGAGAACCTTCTTGCCATTCAGATCTGAGCTTATCAGGCATGCCTCAGAGAGGTGTTTCTAGCTCACCCATTTATTTGAGAAGCCATTCACTTATTTCTTATCACACAGTCCTACTGTAATGTCCTGCAAGGCACTTATCATTATTTAGTGTTCTCTTGCTGTTCCTGTACATATATATTTACTCTTGTATTCTACTATTAGAGAACAGAGGCCTTGTCTGTTTTGATCTCCAGCTCCTAATATAAGTCGAGTACATAGTAGATGCTCAAGTAATATCTGTCACAGGAATAAATGACTGAGTGGTGAATAAGGACAAATCCTAGTAATAGCTGACCTTTCTTTGCTTCGTTTTCCTCTGGCTCCGGGTCTGTCTGTTCATCGCTCTGTTGGCTGTTGCTGCCAGTGGTCATCTGAGTATTCCCTGGCTCAGAGGGGCTATGGCTAGTCCCTTCTTCAGTGCCCTCAGCAGTAGAGGCTGCCTCTCCTTTTTTGTCATCAGTCTCATCTTCCTCTGAAGGGGCCAAGAAGTGAAGCTTCAGACCAGTAAAGTTGGACAGCAGCAAGAACAGGGCCTCGGAGCGAAATAAGTCCATGCAGCCCTTGAGTACACCAGGAAGCTTGCTCTCCTCAGCTTTCTCATAGAACCTGAAATCGAAGCCACAGATTTCAAAGTATTCATGGAACAAAAGCTGATCGTTGGCTTCGTGCATCTCTCCCTAAATGTTGGCACAGCTTACTAAAACACAAGTTATTACAAGAGGGTGATATTGTCAGGGTCTTCTGGATATCCCTGGGAGCGAAACATCATTAGGACAAGTGTCCTATTACTGGGATGAGCCTTGCAAAGAGGCAGGCGCTGGAAGCAGGAGCAAATGTCTCATGTGATGAGTTCTACCTTTTGTTAGGGGGGCCTCGGCTGCTCCACTCCACATCTCCTTGCTCCAAGGCCTCACAGACCTTTGCGAATTTCTCAGGCTGGAAAATGGGCAAATAAAGAGCCAGTTAGCAAATCTCCCTAGACTCCCACCCTGGGGTGGTGGGGACAGCAGCTCTCAGAGCATCAGTCTGGCTGATATCTAAAACGTCCTCTCACTCAAGATCCCATGCTCCTGCTATAGGACAAAGATAACAGTCAGCTGTTCTAGCTAAGAAAACTGAGTGCCAGTTTGGGTCATTTCCTTTAAGTAGTCATATATGTATATATGTACGTACACACACACACACATTTTTTAGTTTGCTAAAGGGCATGTGCACTTGCCAAAGAGAGACAGAGAGAAAGACAGAGAGAGGTAAAGTGAGAAATCGCCCCCGGGGGAATGGCCATGCCACAATTCATTCTGTGGGAGTTCTGAAGTACACACACACATGCCCGGTGTGTTTTTCATTTTCCTTTTTTCTTTTGGTATAGGGCAGTGCACTCACTGGAGAGCTAGAGAAAGACAGAAAGTGAGAAATCACCCCTCTACAGAGAAGATGACCACACGGCAATCCCTTCTCCTCCATTCTCTCGGGATTTGGGGCATGCACACTCACATACGTGACATGTTTTAAGTCACTGGGTTCAGGACTCGAACTGCAGTTGACTACATGGGAATCCAACGACGTATGACATAACCACTGCATCATCTGCTGGTCCCACCTGACATGTTTTCAAGCTGTCGTGTCTGGGACTCAATCAGTTCGGACTCAGTCAGTACGGTCAGCACTATGGACCCAGCCACCTTAATCTCCATGCCACCTGCTGGGCTGGTAGTTGCATATCTGAGGTCAAGCTGCTAAACTTCCCAAATTCCTCTGTTTACAAAATGAGGATCATAACACAGGCTCTTTACTATCTTTATAAGAGATTGCAAGGAAGAAAATTAAACAGCTTTACAGTCAATGTCATCACACTGACAATCTCTGTGTAACAGTACAGATCCTCTAAGCCCCAGCTTGCTCCCCTATTTGATATGCATCCTAAATCTGAAAGTCAAGGATAAGGCTCTCTCTCTGTCTCTAGTCAAATAAAAATGAATGAATAAGTAAAATTAAATAAAATACATCTTTAAAAAAAAAAACAAGGAACAGGTTAAACAAATTTAAAAGAAATAAGTGGTAAAGACACACACACACACACACACACACACACACACACACTTCCATCTTGAGGGGGAGTTATGTATAGTTACCTTTCTTACCTTTCTATTTATTTGATAAATATTGTGCTTATTATTTAATAATAATTGATCAACATCTTGATTAATTATTGATTGACTGATTGAAATATTCTCCATAAGAGGCTTACATTTACTTATTTAATGCAGTTTCTTGAAGTGGCCTATCAATTCCTGTCAGCTATAAATATGTGAAAAGGGAATGATTTCACAGCATGGTTTAAGTAAGCTCAATTAAACAGTGTTAAACAAATGTACTAATTATAATCACTTCTTAAATTACATAATATGCTAGGGTCGGTACATGGCATGGTGGTTAAGGTGCTGGACTCCCACATCTCAAACCACTCTCTCTCTCTCTCTCTGGTCAAATTGAAGAATAATAATAAATAAATAAAATTAAATAATTATTTTTTAAAAATTCTGTAATATGCTATAATGTCAGGTATAAAATTCTGAGAGAGAGGGGAGAAAGACAGTATATATTGATAGTATCTCTCAGCCTTTTTCCAGGAAGGAACAATTCTTGGTACTATGATTTCCTGGGACCCCTGGTCCACTGTGACACACCATACCAGCATACGCTGTCTCATTTGGCCTTCATGACAAATATGCACGAAGGGGAAGGAGATATCATCCTGGTTTAAGTGATGATGCAAGAAATACCAGAGAGATTTAGTGATTGTTCAGGTTAGTGAAACCAGAGCCGGAACGTGAAACGAGGCCTTCTCACTTCTGATCTCTTTCCATGACCTTAAGCTGCCTCCCCACTATCAAACATTAGAAGATGTTGATCAATTATTATTAAATAATAAACACAATATTTATCAAATAAATAGAAAGGTAAGAAAGGTAACTATACATAACTCCTCCTCAGGATAGAAGTATGTGTGTGTGTGTGTGTGTGTGTGTGTGTCTTTACCACTTATTTTATTTCTTTTAAATTTGTTTAACCTGTTCCTTTTATGTTTTTAAAGATTTATTTTATTTAATTTTACTTATTCATTTTTATTTGACTAGAGAGAGAGAGAGAGACAGAGAGAGAGAGAGTGAAAAAGCAAGCTACCCGGTCTAGGACTTGAACCGTGGCCAGCCATGTGGGAGTATCCAGCACCTTAACCACCACGCCACCTGCTGGTCCCTTTACTACTTATTTATTTACTTAAATGTCAGAAGGTGTGTGTACATGAGCGAGGGGAAGAGAAAAGGAAGCAGGGAGAAAACCCCCCCACAATGGTGCCTGGACACACCACAATACTTTTTCTTCCACTTCTCTATCCCTTCAGGATCCTAGGCATGTACACACATGCCTGGTGTGTTTTTCAAGCTGCTAGGGCTGGGACTCAAACCTTGGTCTCACTTCTTCTGTACAGTGGGATCTGACTTCTTCTGTACAGTGCTGTAACTGTTATGCAATGGGCCGAAACGGACTCTTCACCCACTAAGTACACAACAGATATCACTGTTAGCTGTTATCATCATTTCAGTATTGTATTTGAAGAAGAGAATGACATAAGCATTCTCACTAGAAATAAAACGAAACCCCAAATTCCCTAGTGGTGTCTGGTCACTCTATCAGGTAGTGAGAATGCATGCCAAACATCATACACAGAACAGAATATGCTATCCTACCTTAAGAAAGTCCTTCAGGAGAATTTCAGAACTTTCTTCAAACTCTTCTTGAATTTGAACTTGGTAATCCATGTCCAGATAAGTAGGGTTGATCCAATCATACAAAATTTCATGCTTGTGAAGAAGCAGTGGGTGCAAAAAGTGAGTTAATAATTCCTGTAGCTTTTATTCTTACATTATGTCACACTAGTAAAATACCTGCAAATCCTCACTTGATAAGCTTCTACTGCCTGAGAAAGACACTATCGGGACCAGCAGTTAGCGTAATGACTATGTCGCTGAACTCCCATGTAGCCAACTGTGGTTCAAGTCCTGGACCCAGTGGCTTAAACTCATGCCAGGTGCATGTGTGTGCGTACCCAAGATCCTGAGAGGAAAATGGAGGAGAAGCAATTGCAGTGTGGCCATTCCCCCAATGGGGGGTGACTTCTCGCTTTCTGTCTCTCTGTCTCTGTCTTTCTGGCGAGCGCACGTACCCTATAGCAAAAACCTCTCCAAAAAAAAAAAGAAAAAGAAAGACACTATCAGAAGTTTAAGAAAAGTGTCAGGTGAGCCAGCTCAAAGTTTAGTCTGAAACTAGACTTTTTTTTTTTTAACCTTTTTTCAATTATTTTAATTTTATTTATTCGTTCATTTTAGTTTAATTTGACCAGACACACACACACACACACAGAGAGAGAGAGAGAGAGAGAGAGAGAGAGGGAGGGAGAGAAAGGGAGCATAAGAAAGCAAGCCACCAGGTCCTGGACTCAAACTGTGGTTGGCCAAGAGGGAGTATCCAGTGCCTTACCCATCATGCCACCTGCTGGTCCCCGAAATTAGACTTTAATTAATTACCAGGAATAGCTAACTTAAAATCAGAAAAACAAAAGATATGCTATAATTCCTAAGTTTAGAAAACAAGTAAGCTGTCCTTACATCTTGTGGGATGTGAGGGCTCCGAGGTATGAGTGGTTCGAAGTAGTTGGGAGGCCTGGTTAATGATGGACCATGAAACCAGCCGCTTATAGACAAACGTGATTTTTCTTCCGACAGGACTTCAGACACCTGAAAGGACAAGTCTAGAAGCACATCAGCTCCAACAATGACGAGATGACCAGCAAATGCACATTGATTTCAGGATCTTACATGTTTGAAAAAGGAAACCCCTGATCAGATAGCAAGTATATAGGACTGTCATGTTTAGAGTAAAAAACATAATCCTTAGTACTCTATTTGTGGCTTAGAATCTTTACCTGGTGGGGAAAAACAAAAAAGAATTTTTACCTGGTGAAAGGATACTGGAGACACTTCAAAGAAAACCAGTTTGTTCCATGCAGGGATAAGAGACTTGACGATCTGCTTCGGCTGAAAGTGTTCTGCACCAGGAGAGAACACATCCATAAATATAGTTGGTTATCAATTCTAGGCTGCATCACTTCACCCTTGACAATTCTCAGATTTCAGAGCATCCTTCAGATCTGAAACACCACTCCCTTCCCTGTGTTCCACTCATGCTTGCTAATTTAGCTAGGTGACAAAGTTACTACCTTACTCTTTGATTATGACAAGGGCTTGAATAAGATTGGAAAGTTTCTGGGACCAGCAGCTGGTGTAATGGCTATGTTGCTGGACTCCCATGTAGTCGACCATGGTTTGAGTCCCAGATCCGGTGGCTTAAACTCACTCCGGGTGCGTGTGCGTGCGTGCCCAAGATCCTGAGAGGAGAATGGAGGAGAAGGGATTGTGGCGTGGCCATCCCTCTGGGGGGTGATTTCTCACTTTCCCTCTGTCTTTCTGGCAAGCACACATGCCCTATAGCAAAAACCTCTATAAAAAAAAAAAGAAAAAAAAGATGGGGAAGTTTCCTGGAGTCAACCTTTGGTGTCAGTCATTCAAAAAACCCTGAGTCCTGGCAGATTCATAAGCACAGGCAGCTTTATATGTACTCTACTCTTTCGTCACTATTCAGAGGAGTATCTGATTATTTCTCAGCTTACACTGACAATAAACATCTCTGGAATAATAATTACTTAAGTGTAAGCTAAAGAGGTGGTGATCAGTTCTGCCATTAGTTCCTCTTGAGGCAGTCACAGTAATGAATGGTTTCCACCTCTTTTGAACAGACACTGTAAGGATGCTGCTGTTGAATCATCAGCTGTAATTCAGAAGCGGCTGGTGGTGGTGAAGAGAACGCACTTGTCTTACCGTCAGTGTCGTACAGGTCCAGGGTGCCCCCTAAGCTCCTGTCCCAGGAAGGAACCAGGTACAGAATGAAGGCGATTCGGCGTCCTTCCAACTCATCATCATGGCAGAGCAGGGCATCTACAACAGTTTAATGCACACCTTAGATCCCTGTCTAGACAATGAGCAGCTGATATCTGACTCCATTTAGTATAAATTCATCTGATAACCACCATTACATAAAAAGTAATTCATAAATGCATACCAATATAAATAAATGAATGAGTAAATAATAGAGAACAAGAAATCTTTTCTGTAAATTTTTGTGTCTCTGTGCTCGAGGGTGCATATGTTTGCCAGACAGAGAGACAGAGAGAGAGAAAGAGAGGGAGAGGAGAAAGCACCTCCCATGGGGAATGGTCCCACCACAATCCCTTCTCCACTTTTGCCTCCTGTCGGGATTTTGGGCATGCATGCATGCGTGCCCAGTATGTTTCCCAAGCCACTGGGTCTGAGACTTGAACCACACGGTCGGCCACGTGGGATCTGGCTGTCTTAACTACCAGGTCATGGGAGTGGCCTGAAAGGTTTCTTTACAGTAGAATGACAACTAATAAAAGTAGAGAAACAACTGTATTATGAAATCACCATTTTGCAACTTTCATAGTAGTGATCTAGCAAGAAACATCATTGCTTGCTAAAACAACTGGATCAAAGTTTGGTGAGAAATGGGATATTTATATAATCTTAAAGAAGCTCCCCTCAATACATACTAACTGACAGAGGGAAGAGTGGAAAAAACCTGATGTCAGCCATCACTTTAATCAAGTGATCAAAGCTCATATCACAAATAATGTGACACACAGAAACCAGGTACCACCTGACAGGATGCAGTGAAAAGAACACAGCGTTAATTCTCTAATGTTCTTGCCAAAAACTTATGACCTAAATCTAATGAGAAACATCAGACAAACCGAAATGGAGGAAACTTTTACAAAATAACTCATCTATAAGTCTTCAGAGGCATCAGGAACATGTGAGTGCAGGAGAGACCAAAGAACTGTTCAAGATTCAGAAGCAACTAGATGTCACGAGTAATCCTGGACTAGATCTTTTTGCTCAAAAGGATCAAATAATGAAACTTGAAAGGGGCCTGCAGATTAGATAGGAATAATGTATTGATATTAATTTCCTGATTAAAAATAAATTATTTATTTAATTTTATCTATTATATTTTAATTTGACCAGAGAGAGAGAAAAAGAGAAAGTGAGACAGTAAGTTGCTAGGGCTGGGACTTGAACTGCAGTCAGCCATGTGGGAGTCTAGCATCTTAACCACTAGGCCACCTACCAGTCCCAATTTCCTGATTTTAATGTGTCATTATTATCACATTGGAGGATGTCCTTGTAGGAATTACTGACATATTCAGTGGCCATGGAAACAGGACAGCAACCTACTCTCAAGGAAACCAGGAAGTAAGTTATTTGTACAGTATTTGCCATTTCTTTTTTTAGTTTGAAACTACTTCAAATTAAAAAGAAAAATAATAAAGCTAAGTAAAGGTACATGAAATGGCTTTTATATTAAAAACAAGAATTACTTTGTTTTATCTTTATTTATTTATTTAAATTCGACCAGAGGGACATAGTGAGAGAGAGAGAGACAGAGAGCGAGTGAGAAAGCAAGGCCCAGGACTTGAACCACAGTTGGCCACAGAGTCCAGCGTCCTTAAACTCCATGCCGCCTGCCAGGCCCGAAATGGCTTTTTATGTTTCACTGTATAAAAAGTTATTCTTGAGACCAGCAGTTGGTGTAATGACTATGTTGCTGGACTTCCATATAGTCAACCGTGGTTTGAGTCCCAGACCTGGTGGCTTAAACTCACGCGGGGGGGTTTTTTGGGGGGGGGCATGTGCGTGTGTGCGTGCCTAAAATCCTGAGAGGAGAATGGAGGAGAAGGGATTGCAGTGTGGCCACCCCCCCTGGGGGGTGATTTCTTGCTTTCTGTCTCTCTGTCTCTGTCTTTCTGGCGAGCACACATGCCCTATAGCAAAAACCTCTCAAAAAAAAGGGAAAAAAGTTACTCTTTAAAAGTTCTTAGCAATTTATATTTCCCAATGTAAAAGAGTAAACTCAAATTCAAATTTTATTCAGTAAAATTGGAAAAACACTTTTTATTTTATTCTAGGTGAAAAATCAGATTTGTGTTAAAAAAAACATGTTCAGAAAGAGAACTGGACAGACATACCTTAGACTGGAGACACTGGATACTTCTGAAGAGAATTTTCATGGTTTAAACTGTCCACTTCTACATCGTTTGACTTTTATTCCTTAAGAATGTATTCATGGGGAGCCAGCAGGTGGTGTAGTAAAGATGCTGGGCTCCCATATGGCTGACTGTGGTTCAAGTCCCAGACCCAGCAGCTTAAAACTCATGCTGGGGTTGGGTATGTGTGTGTCCAAACTCTGGAGAGAAGAATGGAGAGGAGGAGATTGTGGCGTGGACATCCCCCCAGGGAGTAATTTGTCACTTTTTGTCTGTCTCTGGCAAATGTACACACCCTATGTCAAAAATCTCTCAAAAAGAAAAAACAGAAAAGGATGTATTTTGGGGCCAGCAGATGGCGTAGTGGTTAAGGCACCTGGATCCCATGTGGCTGACTGCCTAGTGTGAGTCCTGGACCCGCAGGCTGGAAAAATATGCTAGGCATGTATGTGTGTATGCCCAAAGTCCTGCGAGGTGAATGGAGGAGAACGGATTACAGTATGGCTACCCTCCTGGGGTGTGTGTAGGGGGGGATTTCTTACTTTCCCTCTGTCTCTCTCTTTCTTATGAGAGCACACACCCTATTGCAAACTTAAAAGGAAACAGGACATTCAGGGAAATGGTTTACGAAACCTAAGATCAGAGTTTATAATACCATCTCTGAATTTCCTGATATTGTATGCAAAGTTGGTATGTGTGTGCATTCAAGCATTTTCTTGACAATATTGGCAATAGCTTCTTCCATCATATTCCCAAACAGAACCAGTGTCTTATACCTGCTGATAAAATGGGTATTTCTTTCTTTCTTTTTATTTATTTATTATTATTCAATTTGACCAGAGACAAAGAGATAGGGAAGTGAGAAAGCAAGCTGCCAGGACTGGGACTCAAACTGTGATCAGCCATGTGGGAGTATAGTACCTTAATCACCATGCTACCTGCTGGCCCCTACAGTGGATATTTCTGTATATATGCTGGATTATTACAAAGATGTCCTTCATGCTGTGCAGGGACAGTGAATCTAGTATTTTGGGTATAATGATACCATCTTTCCATCATTTCAAAATGAAAGCCTTTAAATCTAACAGACATGAGGGCTTTATCTCCATTACCAGTGAATTCATATTTAGCACAGGACATGTCAATGGTTGATTCCAGGTCAATCTCAGAAATGTCAGAAAGCCAGGCCCGGAAGTCTTCAAACAGAACTTTCCTAGAAATGTAAACAAAAATAACTTGTTATGCCACAGTGTGAATTCTATTCCTATCTATGCTACAAATAGTCTTTCCTGGAGGTTACATTTCATTCAAGAGATCCATTCTTAGATCTTACTCAAGAGATCTTGGGAAATATTTCTCAGTTGAAATTTATATAGTTTTACGTCCCCACAGAAATAAATATAAAGCTCTATCAACTATAGCATATTTTTGCTATACTCTTTTACTTTATTTCCGCTGTAATTTCTTCTACTAAATTATGCTTACTCATGGCATCAGTTTGGCCTTTATTACAACATTTTATCATATTGACATTCCATTCTAAATTACTGATTGTTAGACGTGTTTTTTTGTAGTACTGAAATAGAAAGCCCAAGCAGTTTTGTTTACATACTTCACTTCCAACACCCAATGTGCGGGTTTTTCCTGATATGGACCAATTCTCCCATGCCAGCTTAGTGTCCTACAATTTAATTTAGTACGGACACCATCTGCCAGGGGTTAGTAAACTTAATTCTGTAAGACTGTCCCTCCTATTTCAGACACTACTTGCAAGACTACGTTGTCACCCATTCATTTAACCAACAAGCTATCAGTCTGAGGTTCTTGCGTTCTCTTCCTCGGGTTTGGTCATTTGCTAGGATAGCTCATGGAACTCAGGAAAACAGTTTATTTACTAGATCACCAGTTTATTATAAAAGGATACAACTCGGGCACAGCCCGATGGAAGAGATGCATAGGGCAAGTTACAGGAGAAGGGATGCAGAGCCCTCTCCAGGCGAACCAACCACCCAGCACCTCTACATGTTCAGCCATCCAGAAACCTAGGCAGTTTTAGTTAGAATTTCTTTATTTCTTTTATTTTTTTAACATTTATCTATTTATTATTATTATTTTAAAATTTTTGCTATAGGGCACGTGTGCTCACCAGAGAGAAACAGAGAGACAGAGAGGGAAAGTGAGAAAGCAAGTTGCCAGGTCTGAGATTTGAACCACAATTGACTAGATAAAAGTCCAATGTCAACCACCATGCCACCTGTTGGTCCCTTAGTTAGGGCTTCTTTTATTATTTTTCTTATTTAATTTATTATTATTATTGTTACATTATTTTCACATTTTATTGATTCACAAAGTACCTTAAACTAAAACTATGGACAAAGCTAGAATCTAGTTAAAAATGCACTGTAATTTTCTTCTGAAGCATTTTAACTAATTAATTTGCATTCATTTCCTGAGCGTTGTCACAGCATACAAAATGTGATTTCCCATCCAAGATATACTGCATACTGGCTTAATCATACATGTTATCGTCATTAATTTTCCATTGCTAGCTTCATATATAGACATGTATGTATATATTTTACCCTATTAGTTAGAGCTTCTTATGAAGGCTTTATTACACCGGCATTGATTACACCACTGACCACTGGTGATCACCTCTACTTCCAGCCCTTCTCCCTTCCTTAGGGTTCACAGTGGGTGAGGCTGAAATTCCAAACCTCTAATCACATGGTTGGCTCCCCTGGCAATCAGCCCTCTAATCTTAGAGACATTCCCTAAGTTGCTTCATTAACATAAATATCAAGGCTGTCAGCCCATCTCATTATCTAAAATCATTTTATATTCTATACTACCCAAACCAAAAAGGTTTTTAAAAATATTATGCTTGGGGATCACAGATGATGTAATGGTTATGTTGCTAGACTCCCACATAGTTGACCACAGTTTGAGTTCCAGATCTGGGGACTTGAAACTCACACCAGGCAAGTGTGTGTGCCCAAAATCCCGAGAGGAGAATGGAGGAGAAGAGACTGCAATATGGCCATCCCCCGTAGGGGGTGATTCCTCATTTTCTGTCTCTCCTTGTCTTTCCACCAAGTGCACATGCCCTATAACAAAAAATCTCTTTCTCTCTCTCTAAAAAACAAAGTTTTCTAAAATACTGTGCTTGGGCAGGCCAACCATAAGTGCCACTTAGCTTTTACAGGCAGAGTTGCAAATTCTATAGAATGGACTGGGAGAGCAAACTGCTGTTTTTTTTGGCTTTAGATAACGTGGGTGACAAACACTTTTGCAAAGTCTTGATACTTTAAGCAATGAATATGATAAAGCCCTAAATCCTTCTTTCACTGTTAATATCAGCTTCCACAGATTTATTCCAGAAAAAGCTCTTCTTCTAAATTATTCCATGAAAGTGTCAGAACAGCCTTATTTTCTGTCATTGTTAGCATTTGTTAATTATATTCATGAGGGAACGCACATCACCCGCTGGGAAATAAAAAGATCAGCTTTCTGTAATGATCAAGGAATGGCGGCTCTCACTTATCTGGCTGTGATCCTTCGGGTGTGGAATGTAACTCAGTCCCACTGGAAATCCCCAATGGGAGTGTTGTGAACTAAGATAATACCTTAAAAGCAGGATAATCTCTCTTTAGGGGAAAAACGTTGACATAAATATCAGATACCATGAGTTAGTTAACACACAGGCAGTACCTCAGGATTTAATAGAAATAATCCATGCAGGGACTAGCAGTTGGCATAATGTCCATGTCACTGGACTCCCATGTAGCTGACTGCAGTTCGAGTCCTGGACCTGGTGGCTTAAACTCATGCTGGGTTCGTGTGCATGTGTGCTCAAGATCCCGAGAGGAGGATGGAGGAGAAGGAATTGCGGCATGGTCATCCCCCCTGGGGGGTGATTTCTCGCTTTCTGTCTGTCTCTGTCTTTCTGGTGAGCGCA